AAGTAATGTTGGAAGTGTGTGGGTCAGTACATGGCTTTTTTCTGGTGTTAATGTTATTTCGCTTAAGCTTTTTTTTTTTTTTTTATTTGTGGCAACCAAACCTCTCTGGGAGGTTTATTTCTGCCAATGTCGAGTGAAAAATATTGACATAGTTATCAATAGAACGTGGGTGTTTCAGTTCTATTGATTTTTCATGGATTCCGTGGAGTTTTAAGTATGCCAGTAAGCAGGTTTCGAGACGCCACCGGGTCCAAAGCGGGTTGTTCATACGACAACCCACTCGACACTCGATGCGCGCTCAAATTCGAAGTATTTCAATGTTTTTTATAATTTATCACTTCACTGCACTTCAGAACACAAAATAACACCAAATTTGTACACTAAAGTACATTAAATAATAAATTGAAACCATTAAAACAGATCGACCATGCTTCCCGTTCAACTACCCTCCACCTTCGCTTAAGCTATTTTTAAAGTTCTATGCTGAGTGTCTTTAAAAAGGGAGTTATAAGTATATTCACATTGCAATATGGTTTTCACGAGACCGTTACTTATACAATGTCACACGTATGACAACGTATACGACTATTTTTAATAGACTCGCGATATTACACATACGATATGAAACTGAGACTGAACTGTCTTATTTCACTTCTAATATAATAAGTTCATTGAAATATGTAGTTAAGGTGATAAAAAGTTCGCAATATTGATTGAAAGTTTGCAATATTTTATTTATCATTAGCATGTACGAGAGAATAGATAATGTACATAAACATATTCGTGTTTTTTATTAAGTTAAAGTAATTCGTAAATTAAAAATATACCTACGAGTATTGTTACAGCTACAGTACCTATAGATACGGCTGCATAAAGCTTTGATACCTATTGCCTAGATCTTAAGCAATAAAGCCTTCGTCCGATGGGGGCAGAAATACTCAGAGAGCAATGTAAACAATCCGGAGTGCAGTCGCATCTGCCCTTGCCTAAGCACGTAGTTTATATTCAAATTGTTAGCCGGTCGTCAACAAAGCGCGCCGATGTTATTCTTGTGTATAAAGGACGGCAAAAAACGCTGACTCTCTGTTTTTTAAGCTGACAAGAAATAAATTGACAGTGTGATTTAGCTCAGGAAATACAAAGCTTTTCTTTGATTCCATTCTACTTTAAAAATATTTATTCACTAGCGGCCGCCCGCGACTTCGTACGCGTGGATCTCGTTTTACCCCCCCTTCATCTATCTTACGCGGTTCAGATTTTTTTATACAATTTTTTTTCCCGCTAACTCCCGTTCCCGTGGGAATTTTGCAATATCCTGTCGTAACTAAGCTTTAAGTTTACTAAGGTACCTGCATGCCAAATTTCAAGAGTCTATCTTACGCGGTTTAGATTTTTTCATACAAATGTTCTTTCCCGCTAACTCCCGTTCCCGTGGGAATTTTGCAATATCTTGTTGTAACTAAGCTTTAAGTTTACTAAGGTACCTGCATGCCAAATTTCAAGCGTCTAACTTAAGCGGTTTAGATTTTACATACAAATGTTTTTTCCCGCTAACTCCCGTTCCCGTGGGAATTCCTAAGTATCCTATAACCTGCCCAGGAGTATGAAGAATAATTGTACCAAGTTTCGTTAAAATCCGTCGAGTAGTTTTTGTTTCTATAAGGAACATACAGACAGACAGACAGACAGACAGACAGACAGACAGACAGACAGACAGACAGACAAAAATTTTACTGATTGCATTTTTGGCATCAGTATCGATCACTAATCACCCCCTGATAGTTATTTTGAAAATATATTTCATGTACNACAGACAGACAGACAGACAGACAGACAGACAGACAGACAAAAATTTTACTGATTGCCTTTTTGGCATCAGTATCGATCACTAATCACCCCCTGATAGTTATTTTGAAAATATATTTCATGTACAGAATTGACCTCTCTACAGATTTATTATAAGTATAGATATAGATAAAAAATATGGTGATGAATAAGTTAGATTCAGTATTCAAGTTAAATTGTGTCAAAGGCGTATTAAAGACAAACAACCACTCAAGTATTAAATTATTTATCCGTTTGCATTAGCATAGCTTGCCTAAAATAGGTCATAAGTACAACAACATAAGCTTATAGAGAGCTTTTAAATTATCTACGTCATCCATCATTCCTTTTATAAAGGCTCACAATTAATATAGGTATTATTATCATTGCATAAGATCGCCATTCCCTGCATGTATTTCACTCAATTTAAATTCTTATCTGTGTAACTATGCCAGGTACAAAAACTCTGGGTTAAGTATCGCCGAGTTAAGTAGACCAGTAAGCTTGTTCAATAGAGGGTTGTTGGCTAAAAGTTTAAGCACCGGCTCAAAAATTACGCCGCAAAGACTAACGCAGCTCGTACCGCACTGCGCGTTTGAAGAAGATTAAATTACTCCAAATGTCTGCACTCTAATAACACTGTGTGCTGTACTGTGGTTCCCAAACAGTGGTCTGACGCATGGGTCAAAATAAGTATGCATTTTAAGTAAGTACTTATTACAGCGCCGTATGTCGTGAGTAGTTTTGAGTAAATAATTTTATTAGAATAATTTATTTTTAACGGGATTGCTACCATGTCTCTTATTATCTCTTATGCCTCCGATATTTCGGCACTGTTGCAAGCGCCATGATCACGGAGTAACAGAAAATGCGAGCAAGCTCAATTTTTTTTTATTTTTTTATTTAACAAATCGTGAAAAACTATCGTGATCACGGTATTGCACCTATTGCATTGTTGGTGCAAATAACGTCGACTTTTTACGATACCGAGCGTAACCATTTAGTCCAGTAGAATTAGCTTTTAAATCGGAAATAATTCCTACAAAAGATTTTATTGTTTTAATGGCTTCATTGGTTACCCATTAAGATTCTCCTAAGTTTTCGACTTCGACGGAGTTGTGCTTAAATGGTGGGGGCCCCCGAAAGAGGCATNGAATCAGCAGCTTCAATAATGACAATAATGTCGATCACACACATGCCAGCTTAATCTAGGCACCATAGCTCATAATATGCCCAAAATGTTACCACCGAAGAAACTCATCCTTTGATGCCCAATTAGGCCTTTATCCAAGGTTTCTATCAGGTTTGTTCAACCACCACAAAAATACAACTTATTGGTTCCGATAAACTCCAAATCATAGAACTATGGAAAGAACCCTCACTGTTGATGAGCAGTGGACTGCATGTTCGTGGGCTAGGAACCGGCATAAATCTTGAAGGCAGAGTACTTGTTGTAAACAGCTTTATTTCTGAGTTCTTCACTTTTTCGACCACTTTGATTTCTTAACTCGCTTCTTATCTGAATTAAACTAGTCAGCTGGAATGCCCTGCTCCTTATTTTATACTCTTCCCTTTCTCTCGCGATATTGCCAACTCTGTCTCTCATGTTCTGGAATATTCAGAGCGAGAGGTCCGATGTGACCGTCTCGTTATCCTCGATCTTCCCAGTGACGAGATGCAGTGTTGCTCGATTGTCACGTCATCGTCCTTGCCTTCTTGCCGTGGCCATCCAGACTTTGGTCTTCTAAGAAACGACGGCCCTTGGAACAACTCATCCTCTTCCGATGTAGGCACGTATCCCGCTCTCGACGCTACGTCGGCTACGTTCAAGTGAGTGGGTACTCAAACGCTACTCCGACGGCCTTGTCTCCTCGGTGATCTCTTCAAGTCGATGCGCTCCGTAGGGTGTATAGCGGCGGCTTCCGTTCCGCAGCCAATGCAGCACAGTTTAGGGAGTCACTCCAGTAGATAGTGTCTTCTACAGGCAGCCGATGCACTTCCGTTCATGCTGCTTGTAGCTCCAACCTCGATATCGTTTGTGTCTTCACTGGAGCCACTTTGGCACGCGCAGCTACCAGCACAACTTCCGCGTCCTTCCTGTCGTTGTAAGCGAGGTGCCAATACGCAACGGCGGCGTAGGCTTCCTCGCCTGCATCGCGCTAAAGTTCGGCAAAGTAGAAAATATACGTATAATTAATGACCCTCTCCACGTCCAATGGTTTGTTACCCACAGGCTTCCAAGTCTTGAAAAGGGCCACCTTAACCAGTGTAACCCTATCAAGGCTTACGAGCTTGATGCGCCTATCCTTGTTCGTCCCAGCCGTTCCTTAACTGCGGTTGCTGCACCTCTTCCTGGCACTCACCTGAACGACTCTGTGTTACCTACTGTGGCTGCCCCTCTTCCTTGTATCCTCCTGCATGACTACGTTGCCTAGCCGTATGCCTGGTCTAAGGTTCGACCATTAAAGCAAAAAAATCTTTTGTAGGAATTATTTCCGATTTAATCAATTTTTGTGTTTAATTCTACTGGCCTAATTGTTCCGTGCGAACAACAAACAAATCAAAGCCAGTCAGAACTGACCGTGGTTCACAAATGTTTGAGAACCACTGGTATACAGTGTACACACGGGTGTACAGTGTACACTAGGCGCGGGAAGGGTTCTGTTAACTCGTTCCCCGCTTATTTGGACGTCGTGTGCAGTTTGCTAAGTAATCTCCTTTGCGGGTTTAGGTAACCGTGATCACGATAGTGTTGTGTCTGGCTCGGTGAGATATACTTGCCTACTTGTAATGGTATGATTAACTGGCGATTGGTGTGACGCTGTTTTGCATCTTAGAAGCATGTATGTACAGTGTGGGTACGCAATGTTTTTTTTTCAGCCTTCGACACGCGGTTTACTATGATGCGTTAGCTTCGTTGTTAAACTATAATATTATTATGTAGCTATAGTTCTAACTCATTGGTTATTAAAAAATGTGTTTGCACTTTAAAATATGACACATGGCCACTTACACAAATCATGAATTTCTCCTATGGAAGTTTTATTTCCCAATAATTATTATAGTATAGTACGTATGAGTTCCAAAATCAAATGACCAGCAAACCATTTCTACTTTACGAAGGTTCTCTCTAAATAACAAAGTAGCTGGCAGGAAAGAAAAAAGTATTAACTCACCCTGGAACTCTTTCCTGGCGGTGCTGACCGACGTGACGATGTTGGCCACGTGTCCCAGTACCGTCGCGAAGAGAAGCAGCCCGAAGAGAAGCTGTGCTATCACGAAGACGTACTCTCCTTTGCTCCTCGGCCGCGGCAGGTCACCTGCGAGTGAACGTGTTAATACAACTACGCAAAATAGGGACATTTTATACACAGGTCATAAGAAGACACTATAAAATATAAATGTATTTTTTATGCATAACAAGGCAGGTATTTGACCGCAATCGCACCTGATGTTAAGTGAGATGCAGTCTAGGATGATACATACATATCTACCCTATACGTAAGTAAGTGTTAAGAAAATGTGTGTTAATAAGTATCTTTGACCTGAAAATGTTGTGAGAAAATGTAAAAACGAAAAAAAACCTTTCATTTTAAATATTTTGGACTTAAATAATTCTCAAGATTCTATTTCAATAGAACATTAAAAGTATTATTCCTACGTATAACTATGTGACTGAGTTTGAAACTTATTGGGAATACCATACAAATTATTGAAATTCGCAAAACAGGGACAAAAACACAATTAATAAATATGGAGCCTTGTCAATAAATATCCTCCAGGAAATAAATCATTATCACGAATTTCTGGCAAGCTTGAATGATCAATTATTCATCATGAATACTCCGAAATCTGCAGCCTAATGATTACTTTTGTTCCGAAAAATAAAATGAAATATATGGTTGCAGGAATCGGAGGACGCACGAAATTATGAAATTAATTTTCACACGTCGTGCGACTACGGTGAATTAATATGAGGAGATTGAAAGTCGTATTTTATTCACATTTAAATAAAACAAATGAATTTTAATTCCGGACACGTCAACGGAATAAGCCTCCAATGAAATAATACCTACCGTTCGAAAAATAAAACGGGCGTTCTATTTTGGAAAAATTGGTTTCGATGTAGCCCGACTACTTCTGTCTCACTGACTTGCACTGGTAAATGATACGAGGGAAAAGGTTAAAAACAAATAATATAACTTTTCCTAAAATCATGTAGTAAAAAGTACGAGACGGTAATTGTTTTAATCATGGTTTTAAATGTGCTACATAATTATACTAGGACAGTATAGATAATCTGGGAAAAATTGATGAATTTTTGACTAAAAACTTTCATCTATTATTTTTCCTACCTTTTATTTTTTATTTCAATAGGTTCAGTTAAGTTCAGTATAAGCGTGAAAAGTTTACAAACAGACGCGGAGGGACAGACTTTTTAATGTTTTAATTATATTGTAATAGTACAGAATCTTAACGTTTCAGCTATTGCAACAGCCAAGGTCTCAAGCAGACCAACAACTTTAATAAACTATTTGCACATACCATGACATTTCGGTTTGAACAGCTCTACCGCAAACCAGTGTACACTGTAAGTACTCTCAGCGAGCGTGCCTCCATAACCATGGCGAGGATAAACCAGCGATCAGGTAACGGATGGTTTGACCGCAAGGATTTGTAAGACTAACGAGCGAATAATTAAAATCTAAAGTAAAGCCAGACCCAGTTTTGTTATAAAAATCACATGAAATTGTAACTGATACAACACCTGCTCTTTTTCACATTTTTGGGCGCAACAAAAGTTAATTACAAGGTTTTTTTTTATTTTTCACAATTATCCGAAAATACTTTCAAAGGTTTTTAACTTCCCACCAAAAGTTCTTTTTCTCTATGGCTTGCGTCAGGGAAGCGGAGAAACTTCCGCGAAACGAAAACAAATGACGATGGTTCTATAAAAAAAAATACAAGTAAATACTCGTATTAGTACCTAGCCGGTTCTAACCGGCCGGCTTAACCAAAAAGTTTAAAGACTTAATTAAAAACTCAAAATAAGTAAGTCTATTTATACATATTAATTGTATTTTAATCTGTCACCAAACAATTCATAGCTACCATAATTTTCACGCACTTTTAAAGACATGTTACTAAAATAATATTATCACAAAACATAAGCCGCGGACATCGTTTATCCATTATTAAAAAAAAGATCGCAAAATATCGTTAGCTAGACGGCTTTCAAGTATAATAGCTACCTATAACATGCACGGATTACACAGCGCTGCAGGCGGTCTTTTTAACACAATTTTCAAGAGCTCTCATCGCGAGACGTCTAATGCAGAGTGTAGATTAAAATCTGCGCAATATAAGTAAGAGATTTAATAGATGAAAGCAAATATACTCTTTAGAAACATTGTTTTGTACAATGGAGTAGGTATTATGGTAATAGAACGCTAAATGCTTATGCGTGGTTAATGTGGTTTATGTGAGAATTGTTTTTCAAGATGTTTGTGTTAATTCTGGTATCAGACTTAATGAACCGCTTTAAGTTGACTTAGCTTACTATAGGAAATAATAGATGATCAAGTTATTTGCATATTTAATACAAACTTTTCTCGTAGCTTCAGAGCAATCAGTTTGCACAAAAGTCGATGTCTTTATAATAGGTCCAAGAATGCATTATAATTAATTGGTTTAGCAGCTTAGGTTGTGGCTTAGTAAACAATCAGACAGAGTTGTCTACATTTATCATAGTAATATAATAATAGAGTGAAGTCAGATAAAAATAAACACCCTTTATAACAAACACGTTGATTAAACTTAACAAACAAAAATAAACTCTGCTATACCAGCTTAGAGCGCAATCTTCGTTTGTTTTATTAACGTAGCAACAAACACTTGTAATTGAAATAAAGCGGTAAAAAACGGTACCTATAACAAACGTTGGGATCCGACAATACAAAGCCACTGGCCGCAAAAGAGAAACGTTGTTACATCGCAAATTTACGGATAGATGTACCATAATGAGGGCATAAACTGGACGAATTTATAAGGGTACGGGCCCTGCGAAATCCACCGGTTTCATTTTTGCCCGTCGCGCGAGTCAATGTCACTTTAAGCTGCGGGGTAAGTACTTTATCCCACCACCTGTGACGTGGATTTTGTTTTTAAAGTGGGAAAATACCAGACAATCTTTACAGTTGAATAGAATCATGTGCAAGGAGGATTTCAGAGACTGGGCGGTAACGGTAAGTGTTTGTATAATTGTGTGTGATATTTTTAGGAGACTGAACTTAGATTTGAAAATGCATTCGTCTTCTTTTCCTCCNCCAAAGCTACGGTCAAAGTTAGGTCACGTCAGGTAGTGCAACTTAGCCAAAGAAAAAATTCATTTTGATCGCTAATGTCAGTTTGTAGCGAGTGACACAACCTCCCCGTCTGAAGGCCAGCGGCCGACTGCCGCCCGCACCCCGCGAAGGCCCCCTCAACAGCAAAACGTTCGGAATTTATCAAAAGTAAAATTTATGAATGAAAGTAATGTTCGATTGAAAAACGCAACGTGTCATTTAAAGATTAAAGAATTCCCAATCTATTCGTGCAAAAATCTTTTAAATTAACATAGCCGTTTTGGAGGAGTAGGGAATTTAAGTAAAAAATCGATGTCCCGTATTTATTTTTTTAATCCAAAACAAAGACACGTAGCGAAAATTCAAACGTCACAAATGTAGTCCTTGAACTGTTGTATAACATACATTTTTTTCAACTATTTCTGTCCAGCAGTAAAAGAGGAGTAGGCTTTACAAAATGCCCATTTAGCGCGGATTGAGGACACTAATCGCCTTAAGAGGGTGAGTCTTTCATTGAGGAATTTGTATTCGGTCCCCAGGGGCAACGTAATATTTTATTAGATATAGAGTAAAAAATCACTTGTATCACTTCTGTGTAAGTACCTAGTTTGGCTAGAATACTGCAGACCATGGTTGTTGTGTCCTCAAGTTGTCTTATGCAAATAAAATTATCATTATCAAGTCATCATGGCCTATAATAAAAGTAGTAGAAGAACATTTAGAGATTTACAACTAATAACTCCAACCGTCTCATTTCTCAACCGTCTCCTGCTTTGTAAAGATTCGATAAGTAATTGAAAATTTTTCTGTGAATTAAACTACTCGTATAATAAATCCTACTCTAAACATCAACTGTTGGACAGAAATTAGCCAATTAAATCTCTAAATCACGAGTTGATAACTGAATTTCCGCTTATTTGAAATGGATTCCAAATAAGCGGATAATAACGTTTTATGCATCAAACTATTCATGATTTAACTATCATTCATTCAATAAATGTATTACACTAACAATAATTAGTATATTAAGCTATGATAAGCTCTTCATTTCAGTTTTAATGAATAGATTTAAAGCTCGGCTTATGTTAAAGTCACAAGCATTAATAAGTACTAATCATTTTACAAACATACAAAAGGTACCTAAATATTTTAACTTAGGACTACGAAACAAAACTTTATGCGCCTGTTCAAACCAGAAGACGATTTCAAAACATCATAAATCCTAAAACGTAAGGTACAAATTCGTGTTCATTTTGTGCAAAATTATTACACGATTTTGAATCCAAATAGTTCGAAAACACGTGCCCAGCTTAGCACAATCACGTAGCAGTGCTTAATTCGAGGAACACGTCTCCAAAATGCTGCCCAAATATTCAGTAGAAGTCACCGTGTTATTGCATGTTATATTCAGTGGTGTATCCTCGTAATTTTTCGATGAAACTTGCTGGCGCAGCGTATTCCCTTAGCTGTGTTTTGGTACGCCCCAGCGGCCGATAAGGTTTGTGGGGCGATGGTTTGGAAGACAGATCGCCTGTACTAAGATGACAGTGAGAACGGGGTCCCATATCCACTTTTATGGATAACGTTATTAAACTAAATTGTGTGTCCTTTTCGGCGATGCCAAACCGATGTTATTGTTATTTAGGGTGTATTTTTTTATCGCACAAACCCCTCGGTATCGACGATTTGAAGATCAGATACAATACCCAGTTGTAGTTAAATACCTACGAAAAGTTAGTATAATGGTAGGTATAATTACGAGTAGAAAATTAATACGGCAATTCTCGCAAATCTGATACTTCCACAAATTATTTATCGTTCAAGAGAGAGAGGAGCCTTGGGAGTTGGGAGACTGTTCAAATTTATTTTATAGAATGTTGTAGAAAGAAGAAAATACATTTGCCCTTATCGCTAGAATTTACTACTAGCACCAGAAAACAAAATGATAGCGGAGAAAGATAACGCTCTGTATAGAA